CCAGCAGTGGCACTGAGAACTGCCACGGCTTTTGAGGGGTTCTGCCTGTCAGCCAGGTCATTTCCTCGTGTTCTTTCTCTCAAGGAAGCCCACGGTTGCAATTTCTTTGCTATGCTAAGTTGGTTTCACTCTCCCATCTATGGGCTTTTCTTAAAAAAAAAAAAAAAGGCTGCATAATATCCGATATACTCTAAAGAACATACATGAAGAAATAAAGCCTAATAATAAAATAGTTACGAATGCCCACCTCTACCTGACTTAAGAACTCAAATGTCAGCTTAGGACTGACTACACACTTGCTTCTTCCAGTCTTATTTCTCTGTCTCCCCACCAGGGAGGGGCCAGGAGTGCAAATTTTGAGAATCACGGTTTTACCTTTTTTCCTTTCAGTTGACCATACATATATGTATCTGTAAATAAGGTAAAATGGTCAGTTTTGCTTGTGTTTATGCTATATGTACTTTTGGTAAACTGCCTTTGTCACCTACATTGTTTTTAAGATGCATCCATGTTGCTGCAAAAACCTAACATTCCCCTGCTGTTTGGGTTCAGAATACACCAACAGGTGAACTCAGACATTTGGGTTGTTTCAAGATATAGATCGGTATGAGCGGTGCTGTGAGAATTTCTCTCGAGTGTCCCCACGTGGAAACTCAGGAAGAGAATATGTGACTCTTCCGCTTTGCAAGTTCCTGCCCTTCTGTGTATCCATTTATCCTCACCAGCAGCAGGTGAGATTTCTAAGCCATCCACATCCTCTCCTAATACTCGGTTTTGTCAGACATTGAAATTTTTGCCAATCTAAGTATCCATGAAGTGGTGTGTCTCACCTGGTCTTAGAACACTAATGAGGTTGAATGTCCTTCCGTGTTTAATCACCACTCCTATCAATTCTTCTGTGACGCGCCTGTCTGTCCTCTGTCCACTTGTAGGAGTTACTTATGCGTGCTGGATTATAATCCTGTATAGGCTACAAATGTTGTAAACATCCTCCCAATCTGTCTTGTGTATGCACATTCTTTACTGCTACTTTTTGACAAAGGGACGATCTTAGGTATGCTCCTGTATTATCTTGTAGAAGTTTTTCCCTGATTAACATGAAACTGACTTTCCGGTACGTTGTACATTAGGGACCCCATTTCCTCCTTCCCGACTGTCACAGCACCCCACACTGAGCAGTCTGACCTTTGCCCAGTGACATGTAATTCCATGTCCGCCATGAGCGTCAAGTTTCTTGGGTCCACTTCTAGCAGCTCTTCTGTCCCACTGGCCAGTTCATGCCACCCTGACCCAACTGTCAAGTAAGCCTTGAAACTGTTAAGGCAAGTGCTCTCCCCTTACTCTGCTTCAAAGTGCACTAACAACACGAGGACATTATTCTTCTAAACATTTTTAACTGACTTGTCATATTCCCCAAAAACCCTATGGGGATGCACTGAGCCCAGAGATCAATATAAGAACAGGCAGTTTTACCACATTAAGTCTTCCTAAGCAAGAACATCCTGTCTCTATTTATTTAAGTCTTTTTTAATGACTCTTACTACAGCTGTAAATTTTTCTCCATTAAAAATTTTGCACAACCTCTGTTAGTTCCCATTTATATCAAAGATGGTTCGGTTAGAACAGAAATCATGCTGGCTATTTCAAACACAAAGGACAAGCACTAGCTTTTAGCACCGTCACTGAAAGCTGCTTTGCACACAAGTGAAGTGGGCCACCTCTGCCTGTTTAACCTCTGCAGCTGCAGTGGGACAATCAGGAAGCTGCTGTTTCCACGCACAGGTGAGGGAGCTGCGTGGCCGCTGCTGGACCTGCACAGGTGAGATGGCCAGCGAGTGGGGGGCAGGGGGGTGGGAGCCACTGAACTCACTCACGGAGGTCTGAGCCCATGCCACCCACTCCAGTGCCAGGGGAAGGATTCTTCTGTCTCTCTTCCACCTTCCAAATTTCATGGGAAGGATCTCGTGGGCTAAATGGTACCCACCGGTCTATTGGCAGGGGGTCTGAGTGTTACACCTCCAGCCTTCCAGCCCGAGAGGCAGGAAATGTACTGAATGCCCGGATGATATCTAGCATCCCACCCATTTTCTATCTTCTAAAACCACGCGGAAATTACTGATCTACTGTTACATCTTTTCCCATTTTCTTTGACCCTGTGGTTTCCCTTTATTGTAATTTTAGCAGGACAATGAGATAATCTCATGTTCACTCCAGAAGTCCTCAAGTACATGTTCAAAAGCAAACTGACCAACCATGGCTGGGGCTTCCCAGAGGTTTACTTAAACTCTCCCTACAGACAGGAACGCCATAGCAGAAATGACTATTAACTAACTTCCTGTCCATACCCCCTCATATAGATTAATGAATACTTAACCTATATCTATGTTTTTTTAAAAGATTCTATTTATTTTTAGAGAAAGGGAAAAGGAGGGAGCAAGACAGGGAGAGAAGTGTCGATGGGAAAGAGAAGTAGTGACTGGCCACCCCTTGCACAAACCCCACCCAGGGACGGAACCTGCTATCCAGCCACGTGCCCTGACCAGGAATTGAATCAGGGACCCCTCTCCCTGCGGAACGGTGCCCAATCAACTGAGCCACGCTGGCCAGAGCATATCTATGGTGCTTTAAAAATTTAATTTCTTTTAAAATAAACTACAAAGAACTATGACAAGATTTCAGCAGTTATTAATTCAGGGAAGTGAGAAACAAATATTATTCTTTGTATATTTTGATAAATTGCTCAAAACCACAAGCCTGAAACCATCAGAAATTACCCTGCCACCCCTCCTGGATCGCGGTGCGGCACTACACCACAAGCCAGGCGCGGTACCGGGAGTCGAGGGGAAAGCGGGGGAGCTGGGCATTCTACAGGCCCTCGGCCTCCGCACCCCTCCTCTGGTACAGCAGACCCTTCTAGGCCTCAGTGAGTTTGCACACACTGTCATTGTCATCACACCCTCAATGGTTGGGACCCAAAACATGCCATCTACTCAGAACACTGGGCTCCTGTAGGTCAGACCTTTTCTGTTTGGGGAGAAGATATAGGAACCTATGCAACTTCAAGTTAACACTTAAACTAAGCGACCTGTAACCCTCTGTACCAACCACATGACCCAAGGAGAAACCAGATGAGTCCCTGGCTTCAACAAGTCCACAGTGCATGGAGAGATAAGCAGGTTGAACCATGAGAGCGCTCACCACTGTTTTCAGCATCTACAGCAGGGCAGTTATCACACACAACCTTAAAAGCTAAGCCAAAGACACTGAAAACAGCAAGTAAGGCATGCTTCCATTTTAAAGCAAGCCAAGAACCATTTGGTTCTTTGTTCAGAAAATTCTGCAGGAGGCTAGATATAAAGTCTCATCCTCTAAGTCAGAGCAGGTGGCACTCCCAGGCACCATCACTGGTTCCTCACCAGGCTACCCAGCACCTAGTACTCACATCTCAAGTACTGGGAAGGTCATGTTCTCAGCGGCAACCCAAGGAATGACCAGGTAGGCTCCCAGACACAGGGCTATCCCAGAAGCTCCTAACCCAGCCACTATCATCCTGACTCTCATTTGGAAAGGCAGACGCTCAACTACAGACATGCGCATCCGGTGAAGGAAGAACAGGCACAGGGATGATTAAAAGGGGTCTTTTTACAGGCAAATACAGTCTGAAGAGACCACCTCTATTTCTTACTTGGGAACTCCCCCACCCCCCAATGCACTAGCCCAAGCTCAGCTGTGAAATTCCACTGGACCTGCCTCCTGATCCCCAGGCTGGAGTTCATCGGTTTTCTTCAGCACCTGGCCTAGAGCAGCTACAGCCCTCCTTTCATTGGCTGAACGCTGAAAAGAAGCCCGTCCTAGGCTAGGTCCCCCTGAGGAAGAGGACTGACTGGTCTCCAGCCCCGAGGGAGGCTCAGTCTGGAAGAGAGACCAAGCACAGGCACAAGTGAGGGTAAGAATTACCAGGGGCTCTATGGGCTGTCAGAGAGACAGGGCGGGTGCTGCCAGAAGCCGCACTACAGCCAGCAGACCCAGAGATGCCTGCTCATTGTGGAACCATCCAGCCAAGTGTTCCCTGAAGGGTGGGCAGGGTCTGTCCATGCAGAAATAGGACAAGGGGATTCCCAGGAAGGAGAAAGCAGAAAGGCGTAAACAAAGCATGTGGCTAGGAAATTCTTCATGGGGTGAGCACAGGAAATAGCCTAGCTGAGTCACTGAGGGAAAACAGCAATACACTGCTATGGCAAAAAGACAAGGCAGACTGTGAAGAAATTTGAACGCAAGGCCAGAGCACAGGACTGAGATTCTCACACTGGAGTAAGATGCACCTTCCTCTTAGGGCCTTTATCAGAGCCACCTGGGTCTGAAACATATTAGAATGTGCACCTATGCCTCTGTCTCACACACACGTGCCAGAGTGCACACGAGACACTACAGCTCAAGCCGAGAGCCAGGGACGCAGTGCACACGATTACTCATGGGTGTGTTAGCCTCTGTGAGGGTGCTGGACCAGAAACCAGGAGGAACACCAACAACTCAGATTTCTGCGGCATTCCCCGTCTTTACGAAACATGCGTCATCAGGAGAGAATACCCAGTGAAAGGTGACTGGTGACTGAGTGAGCAGGATGGAGGGAGAGCCAAGGTCCGTCTAAATGACCCTCATCGGGGTTCTAGCCACGTCTCAAAGGCACCCACCTCCAAAGCCAGGCAAGAGGGAAGAAAGAGGCCACCACACTTCAGGGCACTACCCTCAGGGCCAGTGGCACCTCTCGAAACATGGCATCATGGGTGCCCCTCCGTGCCTCACCACAGCCCTGACCCTGCCATCTCACAAGTTCTCGGATCTATTTGTGTTGGGTGTCTTTTTTAAAAAGACAGAGAAAGAGAGGGGACGAGGTGCTCAAAATAACCTTCCAGTGCATGGCTATAGCGTGAGGGGCTGGATGACACCATCTCCCAATGGGACGCAGGGGCCACGTGCTTCTGCCTGCCCGACACACTCACCTGGACAGTCGGCTTCGTCGCTCTCATCCTCACAAGTCACCCAGCCGTCACACTGCCAGGGGAGGGGGATGCACTGGATGGTGCCGCTGCGACAGGCAAACTGCCCAGGGTTGCACCACAGCTCTGTGAAACCAAAGGGCAAGAGGCCATTGAGGAAGCGGCAGTAGCAGTGGAGACCTGGAGTGGCCAGCTGCCACGGCCCGGTCCTGCTGCTGCCCGAATCCCATGATCATGAGCCAGATACCAAGCAGCCTGCCAATAGCCCGCCTACTCAGGGGTTTGCACACATGCCCCAAGAACAAGCCAAGAGCTGTGCCCCAGATGCCACAGGTCCCCAGAGCATTGCATCCCCCCAAGACACTGACCTTCGTGCTCAAACTCAAACACACACTGCCACGTTTCTGCTCCACATGAGCCTGCGCTGCACTGCAAGGAGACAGAAACAAGAGGGCACGCCTCTCTCTCCTGAGGGATTCTGGGTCAACAGAGAAGACACACGTACACTCTATACACACACGGACAAATGCACACACTGGAGTTTCTGACAAAGCACAAAAGCAGGTCACCACCACAGGGCGCTTAAACGATATGACGGAGACTCTGCCTCCACCTGTGGGGCTGGCGTGCTTACAGACGGTGGGATGTGAACAGGGTCCCCCAGGCAGGTGGACGGTTTCAGAGGCATATATGACACAGTAGGAAGGGAAGAGCAATCCAGAGACAGCCGGGCCTAAGGAAATACCAGAGGGGAGCCAGTTATACTGTGTGAATTGACGGATGAGGAGTCACTGGAGATGAAGTTGGAAATGTAAGAAGGATCAGACTGCGGAGGCTTCGGGGGGTAGGATAATTCTGACCTGTATTTGGTATGCTGTAGGGAGCTGACAAGTGATGTAATAAGATCTATATTTTAAGCAGACATCACTGGCAATGGTTTCTGGAAGCAATTAAAATAGGGGACCAGACAAAAATATTAAATAGCCAAGAAAGATCTTGGACTGAGGCAGGGGTCAGCAAATTACAGCCCATGAGCTAACCCTTGCCCTGCCCACTGTTTTTTTTTTAAATAAAAGTTTTCTCGGAACACGGCCACAAACATATCTAGTCTATGTCTGCTTTTAAGCTACAACAGCAGAGTTGAAGGGAGGCTGTATGACCTGCAACGCTGAAAATGTTTACTCTCTAGTCCTTCAAGAAAAAGTTTGCAGACTCCAGAACTGAGGTGGCAGCTGATAAATGGGCAAACCTTGGAACCCGCGAACAACTCTGAGATGAGAGGGACAAAGTCCTGCCCACCAGTGTGATGTCACAAGAAGAATGGATGGAATAAACTTAACTGTCCACCTGTAACAATAAAATACATAAAACGACGGTCCTCCAGGCACTGGTCGTCAGGTGAGGAAGAGCAGTGAAATTCCCTGCGAGTCAGGAAACACACAAGTGAGCCTTACCACCCACAGAACATTTCCAGGTGACAAAGCAGATTCCCTGCGAGTCAGGAAACACACAAGTGAGCCTTACCACCCACAGAACATTTCCAGGTGACAGAGCAGGGGGAGGGACTCCAGGGGGACCCGGAACACTCTTGGAGATGAGTGGGAACAGCTAAAAGCCAGGGGAGACTAAGGCAGGTAGCACCCACGGTGCAGCGCTGTGGGGTCACGGGATGGGAAAGAGCACAGACGAGACTCTGGAGATGCACAGAAGGACGCCGGGGCAGTAGGCATGGTGCTGATCAGTGCGTGGTGGGAGGAAACTACCCCAGGCTGCACTATTACCACTCTACAGAGTAAGAGGGAAGAGTAACCAAAACTCAGCAGGACCACAAACAATCCCTATTCTGCAGTCAGTCTGGAAAAAACTCCTAACTTGTGGGACATTGAGTCGACTACTCAGAAGAGTTTTGTGTCATTAGTGGGGAAAAATGAACTCCAGCCTAAATGCTGCTCAGTCCTAACAAAGATTAAAAGCAAGGCCTGATGAAATCAGCCCTGGCTGGTGTGGCTCAGTAGATTGAGCAGCGGCCTGCAAACCAAAGGGTCACTGGTTTGACCCCCAGTCAGGGCACATGCCTGGGCTGTAGGCCAGATCTCTGAAAGGGGACCTTGCGAGAGGCAACCACACACTGATATTTCTCTCTCTCTCTCTTTCTCCCTCCCTTCCCCCTCTCTAAAAATAAATTAAAATCTTTTTAATAAAAGGAAAAAGACCAGTCACATACTGGAAGAAAACATTTGTAAATCAAATACCTAATACAGCACTTGTATCCAAAATATACTGAGAACTCTCTTATTTCAATAAGAAAATAACCTGCCCAATTTTTAAAGTGAGCAAAAGATTTTAATAAACACTTAACCAAAGAAGGTATACAGATGGCAAATAAGAACATAAGCAAATGGAAAATAAAACCATAATGAGATACCATTACATACTTATTAGTGGTTAAACAAGGATAATACCAAGTGTGGGCAAGTATGTGAAGTAACTGGAACTCTCCTACATTGTTAATGAGAATGCAAAGTGTTACAGCTACTCTGAACACAAGATTGACTATCTACCTACCATATGACCCAGTCACTCCACGCCTAGTTCTTTACGCAAGCGTAATGAAAGTACATGTCCATAGCAATTTTATTTGTGATAGCCAAAAGCTGGACACAATCCAAATGTCTAAGACAAGTAAATGGAGATAAACAAAGTGCAGTACAGTTATACAAAAGAATATTACTCAGCTATAGAGACAAGCCAGCCACTTTTAATGCAGCAATAGGTAAAAGCAAAACAAAATGGAACAAAAACAAGGGTCGGCTGCAGGTGGTGGTTTGCCAGCCCGTGTTCTGGAGTTTAACCGAAGAGATAACATGTTAACCTCAACCCCATAACCAACACACAGCAAAGGCAGGCACTAAATGTCTGACGGCTGCTCAAAGGTCGCCCTCTACTCTTAACGTCCATGACGAAGTATCAACAAGCCTCTGGCCCTGGCTGGTGTGACTCAGTGGACTGAAACTCTGACCTGTGAACCAAAAGGTCGCTGGTTCAATTCCCAGTCAGGGCACACACCCTGCGCTGCTGTCCAGGTCTCCGGGTGGGGGTGTGCGAGAGGCAACAGATGGATGTACCACTCATGCGTTGATGCTTCTCTCCTTTTCTCTTTCCCTTCCCCTCTAAAAGTAAATAAAATCTTTAAAATATATAAATGTTAAAACAGTAACAACAACAATCCTCTGCTATCCTGGGGGAAGGTTCTCTCCCTTCCTGAGCCACCTGTAGTGCAGGGGCTGTTCTGAAATCGATCTAGTGGTGAGTCACTGGTTAACACACGTGAAGCACACATTCAGAAAGTATTTACTGAGCTCCTACTCTGTGCCAGGCAACTCTCCAGGTGGCTGGCTCAGAGCAGTAAACAAAGCAGGGTAAACCCAGGACTCGCACTGTGTGGGGGTGACTGATGCGCAGTCAGCTGCTCGGCACATCAGCCCGGGGTCCTGATGGCTCTAACTGGCATCACTCTGGCTGTAAATCTAAATTCCTTTCCTTTCTTCTTCAGTATCCTCTTGAGGCCCTTGGTAAAGCATCAGAATAATTTCTGCCTCAAAGTTGCTCAAAACAGTCACCTCCTCTCCCCACTACTGGCTCTGCTAAGGCCCTTGTCCCAGGCCTTCTGTTGCAATAGCTGCCCCCTGGGTATAAAACGGGAGAGCTAAGCGGGCTCTTCTAGCCAGCAGACTGTTGCCGCTGTTTGATAACCCATACCCCCACCGTGTAAGTGCAAGGCCACAGCACCAAACACGAACCTTTACCACATTAGCCCGCAGGTCTGCTCCCAATATCTCTTTACACCCTTAAAATTTCTGAGGACTCAGAAGACCTTTAGTTTATATGGGCTAAACACATGGACATTTACTGTGTCAGAAATCAAAACTGAGAAATGTTTTTAAACACGATTCCCAAGCTTGTGCTCAACAGGTTAAACACAGCGTTGCCGTGTTTCAGCAATCCCACTCCTAGGCACAGGTCCAAGAGAGCTGGAAGCAGGGACTCACACACACACCCATGCACTGATGGCAGCATTACTCACACCGGCCCAGGGGTGGAAACAACCCAAGCGTTCATCAGCAGATGAGTGGATAAGCAAAATGGGGCATCACCACATTACTGGGTCGTAAAAAGGAGACTGACACATGCTACGAAATGGATGAAACTTGAGGACATTCTGCTGGGTGAAAATAAGCTAGACAGAGAAGGACAAACGCTCTGTGACTCCGCTTACATGAGGTCCCTCCCTAGAGCAGTCAACCTGGTAGAGACACAGGCTGCGGGGGCGGGGCAGAGGTGATGGAGTTTCAGTCTGGAAACAAGTGCTGGGCGCCAGCTGCACCACACTGTCCATGTGCCTGACACCACTGAGGAGGACACTGAACAGTGGTGAAAACGGTAACTTTTGTTTCTTTTTCCATGTATTTATTCACTGATCTTAGAGAGAGGAAGGGAGAGAAATCCATCCATCTTCCACTTATCCAGGCATTCGCTGGCTGAGTCCTGCATGTGCCCTGACAGGGGACCGAATGCAGCCCTGCTGCACTGGGACGGCGCTTCACCCACCCGACACCCAGCCAAGTCCAAAGTGCTTAAAATTTATGTCATGTATACTTTACCACAATTTTTAAAAATCCTTTAAAAAGAGAGAGAGAAAAAAGGAATCCCAAGCACACGTCCCACTTAGCGGTCAATACATGTCACACAGCCTCTGGAAATACCACTGTGCACTGGGGAGAGAATAAGAGAGGGGTGGGGAATGGCACCTCGGCGTCAAAACTGCTATTAAAGGGAATAGATTTGACCTTGCAGAACCCCCTTCCCCAGGCCTCTGGCCACACCTGAAGAACTACCGCTTTAAATTATGCAATGTGTGGGAATTAAAGGATTCATGCCCTGTAGAAATTCACAAGTCTCTGCAATACAGTCTTTCTCTAGATTCCATTTGTTCTTTGTCAGCAGGCCTTGGCCTCATTTTGAATTACGTAAACCAAGCCATCTCAAATTACTGTGTGAAAATTAATATGCTGTCTCAGTTTTCAGAATTGATTTCTCAACATTTGCCCACAAAGAAATAGAGGAAG